AGGATAGCGACATAAAAAAGTACTGTGGGGAAATCTCTGGATTGAAGGTGAATACTGCAGCAAAACCTTCATATATTTTTATCTTTTTAATGGGCTAGCCATTTTATTCTTGTTATTTTAGGCTGGAGGTCCTCTTTAAGATATGTAGCCACTAGAAGAAACAGCATTATACATGGTTACATAGTATTTGAGGTTGAATAAAGATACAGGTCCATCAAGTTCAACCTTTGTGTGTTTGTGTGTGATTGTGCATGTGTGTGTGTATATGAATCCCTGTGTGGTCTAGTTTTTAAGAGTACCTGTACCCCTGTATGTTGCGGTCTCTGAGGAAGGTATCTAAATGCTTTTTGAATGATTCAATACTCTCAGCTGATACCACTGCTTGTGGCAGAGAGTTCCAGACCCTAACCGCTCTGACTGAAAAATAAAGCCCCTTGTGATTAAATCTTTTCTCCACCAGTTTTAGGTGGTGGCCTCTAGCCCTTGTTATGGAGTTTACCATAAACAGTTTATTGCGGATGTTGCCATCACCACTAAACATTATGTACATCAAAATCATGTCCCCTCTTAATCTCCTCACTTCCAGCGTGAACAAGTTTAACTTTAGTAGCCTTGTCTCATAGCTTTGGTCCTCCAGCCCCTTAATTAGTTTAGCTGTCCTTCTCTGGACTCTGTCCAGCTCAAGGACATCCTTGAGGATTGGTGACCAAAACTGGACTGCATACTCAAGATGAGGCCGAACCAGCTATCTATAAAGTGACAAAATTATTGCTTTCTCTCTACAGTACATTCCCTTTTTAATACAAGACAGGACTCTGCTCGCTTTGTTTGCCGCAGCCTGGCATTGCAAGCTATTATTCAATCTGTGGTCTACAATTAAACCTCATCTGCCATATGGTTGCCCACTCCCCTATTTTATCCAGGTCCTCCTGCAATGTAATACTGCCTAAGTCCGTGTCCATTACCCTCCTAATTTAAGTATCATGAACAAACACATTATGTTCATTAGCTGTAGAAGGGGGTGGGAGAGCAGACATAATCATTTCAGTACTGCCTGCTGTTTTGCTTAGGCTGAATGGAAAATAATAAATTTTCTGTTCATTTATAACGGTAATTAAGTTTAGTTTCCTCCACAACAATCCTAAATGGCACAAATACTTTTTTTATAAGACAGATGGCCTCTTGGCACACATGCCACATATTATAAAATGAATCATGTTTGATTTAATTGGTTCCTTATGAAAACATCAACAACAAATATAACTCACAGGAACAGAGTAAGTAAGAAGAGCACACTGTACACCAACATCTGTGACTAGTTCATGTGCGCCTTTAGTCTGCAGAGTATGGTCATTGGATTTTTTAGTCCAGACTTTCAGCATCAGAGGAAGAAGGATTCCTACTAAGCAAGCACGTAGAGGTCTTGACTTAGGTTGGCAGTTGGTGTAGGACCTCTAAGGTGTTACTTCCAGCAGAGCTTTAGGGCACCAAGGCAGGTGGTCTGCCATTTACTACTTCTGGAGGATCCAATCTCTGGAAAGAGCCAAGGAAATACCCTACTCTCCATAACTGGGATCTGCAGCCAACACTCTTACCCGTGCTACCAGTTTCGCCTATGCTAGAGGCATCAATCAGGTAAGTGGCTCTACCATCACCTAACATATACCCAAGACTCTTTAAAGGCCTGTGTCAGTGGGCTTTGGGCTTGTGTCCATGGAATTGGTTTGCCATTAGTTTGAGATGCTTCTGAGATCGTTCAGAATGCATTGACAGGAGCATTTGACCTGCAGTGGGCTTCCTTCTGACCAGACTGCCCAGAGCAGCACAGCCCTCCTAATTGAAGGGGCAGATGACTGGGTGGGTTATAGAAAGGTAGTGGGGGGTGAGTGGTGGGTGTGGGCGAATAACTGAAACAGGGGGAGGGGCTTAAGTAAGTATGGTTAAATACAAATGAGTCTACTTTGCCCCTGTGTCAAGAGGGCATAACCCACAGAATGCTGGCGTCAGGAGTGAGTAGCAGAGAGTGGAGGGCTCAGGAGTGAGTAATGGAGAGTGTAGGGGTCAGGAGTGCATAATGCACAGAGTGTGGGGGTGAGGAATGAGTAACAGAGTGTAGGGGTCAGGAGTGCATAACGTAAGATGTGGTATATTTTGTATGTCTGACTGAACCGTAAATAAACTTATATATAAGACTTATACATAAGTCTTATATATAAGTTTATTTACGGTTCAGTTACTATAAATTATATACTTCGTCCTTTGGTTTGGCTCACTGGCTGCTTCTGGTTCTTGAGCATGCTAAGTCTGGTGTCCACCCATCCCCCTTCCCTGGGCAAATGCAAAATGCACTAACTGCCCACCTGCCACAAAAATATTTGGTGGGCAGCGGGCCAGCTTTACAATCCTACAAACAAAAAAAAGGGTGCAGACAACTTTGTGCAGTAGAATAAATCTGTGCTCTGCAAATAAAATAAATTAATAAATTCACAAAGGTCAAATGGGAAAATGCCCTCAGTGAGCCTCACAGATGACCACTTGGAGCAGAGCATATAGTAGCAATCCAGGAGGATAGACGGCACTCCGTTCCCACGATCGGGGTAAACTCTGGATGTGGAGGGGCACTAAGATCCACTCCAAACTGTAAGACAGCTGCATCCTCATAGCTAAGTGGCCAACCCAACACTCTAACAAATACTAGGTTGGTGCCGGAACAGTTGAAAAGCCAACCTTCCGCCACCCATGTATTTATTATATGGCAAGTCAGCAGATGCCAAACCATCACTTGCATAGTAAAAAAAACTGTCTATAGCAGACTTTTGTTAAGTCAGCAAGACATAAAGGAGGAGCCTTTCGAATCCTTGTCCCTACTCGTACAACTCCCTTGCAGGCTTTGTAATAAAAGTCATTTGTTTAGCTTTTTTCATAGTCTAGAGATCAGTGGTTCTCAACCTGTGTAACCTCAAGACCCACATTTGTCCTTGGTCATTAGGTTGTTACCAAAGTCGCACTGAGATGGAACACATGGCATTGTGGTACCGTGCGTTTCGGTGCGGGCAATCGCACTGCGGGGTGGGAGGTGTGTTTGGGGTGCCATTCAAATGTATGGCAACACACCTCCCACACCAGAATGCGTAGTATGTGCGATTGCATGCTACAGTGCAGTGCGCAGGACTGTTCAGTTAACGCACTTCACTAGTGTGAACGGGCCCTCAAAAACACTCAGACACATATACATTCCAAAATATATTTTTTTCTTTTATTCTTTTTTTTAAGATTCACCCAGTCTCCCTACCTTATGAACCTACCAGTTGAGAAGCAAGGGTCTAGATCATTGCCCTCAGAGCTTTTGGTCATCCTGGCTACACTGAAATTAACCCTGTGACCCTGTTATTGATATATTTTATTATCTCTGAAAATTAGGGCTGGTTGGTGGATTTCCATTCTGTTGTAATATCCATTATTTCTGCTAATACTACATGAATTACTCTTTTCCATGACTATTGAATGAGTTCCCAATAAAACACATGGACTTAGTTTCATGCATTTTAATGGTCATGTCAGCCCTTTTTTTAAACCACATAACTAATTACCATTTACCAATTATCTGAACCAGAAAGAACAACCTAACGACTGCTGTTATGAGACAAAGGTCTTTGTTGTCCGTTAGCCCAAATAAGGGTTTTCTAAATCCACCCAATGCCCCCAGATGCACTCCTCACTGGCTTGAGGACTGTTCCAGAATGAACTATTCCTGACTTCCCAAGGAGCTGAGGCCCTGTCTATAACTGGCACCAATGGGGGGAAGCACCGTACCACCAGATGGCTTCCCCCGTTTTTGTGACCATCTCATATTTTTTAGACCCCCCCCCCCAACTCACAAAGATGCCATGACAAACATAAATATAAATGGAAAAATGCCTTCATGAAAGAAGGGAGGGGCAAACTCCCTGCAGTTCCCTCCCATGCAGCTCCCCCCCTGTCACCTGCCCTACCCCTCCAATCAAGTCATATCCTCTAACTGTTCTCCCTCTTTAACCCTTTCCTAGTGGACAATTCCTCCCCACAGTCATGTAGCCCCTCCTCCCAATATCTCCAGGTCTGAATATTTGTAAAGTGGCTCATTCAAGGTTTGTAGGGGTTTTTAAGGTGTGTTGAGATGTGTTAATGTGCTTTGCATTAAGGCGGTCCATTATAATTTAGTTGACGGCACAAAGCAATAGACCTACAAGTGCACACAACTGGTTTTTTTTTCCTCTGCAGGGTACTACAACGCACAGTATATCAGCAAAGCAAGAAGGGGTTGCAACCTCTCACAGGTTGATGTCTATGGCCAGGTGCTTATTCTTATACCTCATGACAATGCCTTCATTGCTTTTCTCTCCAGAAAAACGACACCATCTTTGTTTAGGTATTATTAAGGGTACTCATCACCATGTATAACTATCACCATATATACATAACAACATGTAAAACTATCTTTATCCTTCAAAGCTGTGATAAGATTGGCATTTCTAAAACCTAAATAGTATCAATATTCTTATGCAGTATCAAAGAATCTCCCACGAGCTGCTTGGTTTTTTAGGTAAGCTTCCATTGCAGATATCATTGTAGTGCCATTTACAGTGGTAGTCAAGATTGAATACATTGCACATTACCGATCCTTAGATGTGGTGGCTGCATTAGTTTTATTTTTTTTCATGCTAAGAACATTTTCCACAAGTACAGGGGCAGGAAGTGTGTTATCAGCACTGCTATTAGCTGACAATAAAGAGAAAACAAGCCGGAAAAAAGAAAACTACTGCAGCCACTTCGCCAAAGGACTGGTAAGCTGCAACATTTTTGGAATTTTTGGTTTTGGTATTGCATAGGCTTTAATAACTGATTTCCAGGTTCAGCTGAGATTTTGATTTTGGATAAGAATAAAGCAATTTCCGTGTGTTCTATGCTTTCAGTTGTAGAGACGTAGATTGTCATACTCTTCTCCATTTAATCTTGTGTTACAGGCATGTGCTGTATATGATGGATCCAGTCACATATATCCTCTGCATTGCTACCTTTGTTTTCCTGGCTATTGTTTTATATAGACAGAAGAAAAATGTTCATCCAAACTATCCCCCAGGACCTCCTTCTTTTCCGATCATTGGAAATATGCACCTCATAAGCATGGAGAAACCTTACGTGACGTTTCAAGAGGTAAGTCCCCAGGCATACAAATGTATAATAATTGTGGATTACTGGGCAATGTTAAAGGAGAGCTCCTGAGGTGAAAGTGTGGGACTCAGATATTAAGAGCACTCCTGGTGTAAAGCGGGGCCCAGGCATGTTTATTTTTTGTGTGGGGTCCAACACCTTAAAATCCATACCAAACCCCTATCTAGGACACGGATTTTGTATAGATGTTGTAGGCGGACCCTACATCTTTTTGACATTGACCTTTTTTTGTTTTACATTTACGGTGTCTTGAGATTCTGCAAACTGTTGGGATGCCGTGTCTAAAGAGGTTGAGAAACATTGGTATAGACAAAACAAATGGAGTGGTTTCTTGGTTTCAGTCAAGGAAATGGGAGAGGGACCAAAGTTGACTTTAGACAACAGGTGGATTGAGGCAGAATAGGGCCATAGGCAAGGTAGCAGCTCCTCTGATGTCAAGGGGTTCTTTTTGCTGTGGGTGATAAATTCCCCAGCCGCAGCTGTTTGGGAAGTGGAAGGAGCTTCCTTCCCAGTTCAAGGGAGCTCTTTCCGTGTTTGGAGTAGCTCATGTTTGGACCGGGTTTGGGCTGAACCTGAGCTCATCCCTTAAATTTGAAATATATAAGTAGGTGTGAGGAGATTTGTGCCCTAACCTATCACAATGTATTAGATCAGTTGGTGTAACAAGTTGAAATGGATACAACATTGTAGTGCTAAAAATTGCTGTTTACATTTCAGCCTTTGAGAAGTATGTTGTGATCCTTAGTGTACTCAGTATAATGCTGCAGGGCTAGAACAGTGGTGTTTGCCCTTCACCGTGGGAAGAATGATGATTTATTGTTCATTTGTAACACATTCCAGTCCATTTTCCTTGTAATCTCTGGAATTTATCGGGGAGGGCAGGATGTCTATAATGGCAGGCAAGGAGTGACCCAGTATTCCAAACAGTAAGAACCTCATACCAGTGGCCAGCAGGAGGCACCTTCTCCAAATTGAAATAAATAATTGCATTCCAAGTTTGTGATGCTCCTGTAATTTGTAATTAAACTCACCGTTATCAATTATCAGATGCTGACAATATAGAAATCACACCGGCAACCAGTTAAAATGGTGAAACATTGACTCAACCTTTCTGTTGTGTGCCACACGGAGAATGGAGAAGAGAAAGAGCAGCAACGAATTGTCTGAGGATTTGAGAACAAAATTGTGGAAAAGCATGGACAATCTCAAGGTTACAAGTCCATTTCCGGAGATCTTAATGTTCTTGTATCCACTGTGCGCAACATTGTCAAGAAGTTTACAGCGCATGGCACTGTAGCTGATCTCCCTGGACGTGGACGAAGGAGAACAATTGATCAAAGATTGCAATGAAGGATTGTTGGAATGGTGGATAAAGACCCTCCATCAACTTCCAGACAAATTCAAGCTGACCTTCAGGCACAGGGTACAACTGTGTCAGCTGATACGTCGCCATCTAAATGAAAAGGGACGCTATGGTAGGAGAACCAGGAGGACCCCACTGCTGACACAGAAGCATAAAAAAGCCAGATTGGAGTTTGCCAAAACTTACCTGAGGAAGCCAAAATCCTTTTGGGAGAATGTGCTGTGGACAGACAAAACAAAATGACAGCTTTTTGGTCCATCATTCTGCTGTTTTCAGAAAAATAAATGAGGCCTTTCAAGAAAAAATCCAGTCACTACAGTCATACATGGTGGAGGTTCACTGATGTTTGGGGTTGCTTTGCTGCTTCAGGCACTGGATGTCTTGACTGTGTGCATGGCATTATGAAATCTGAAGACTACCAAAGAATTCTGGGGTGCAATCTAGGGCCCAGTGTCAGAAAGTTGGATTTCCGTCAGAGGTCATGGGTCTTAGAGCAGGACAATGACCCAAAGCACACGTCAGAAAGCGCCCAGAAATGGTTTCAGACAAAGCGCTGGAGAGTACTGGACTGGCCAGCAATGGGTCCAGATCTGAATCCCATAGAGCAGCTGTGGAGAGATCTCAAAACAGCAGTTGGGAAAAGGAACCTTCCAATCTGAGAGACCTGGAGCAGCTGGCGAAAGAAGAGTACTCAAAAATATTCCTGTACAGAGGTGCAAGAAACTCAAGTGTTGCATTAGCTGACAGAAATGCAGGGATGCCAATATTTTTAGCCATGACGGTATATATATATACTGTATATACCGTATTTTGCGCTCCATACGGCGCACCTTATGGAGCACTGAACAGACCGGAGCTTCTGTCACAGCTTCTGTGAAAGAAGCTGTGACAGAAGCTGCAGTTAGTGACCGCTGAGACAGGTGGCGCTGTGATTACATCGCCACGGTCTCAGTGATCACACAGAGCAGACGAAGAATCGTCCGTTCTTCGTCTGCTCTAGGGGCTCTATGGTGATCTCGATCGCCGCCGCCGCCCCTGCTCGGTTTTAATATGAGTGATCTGATTAGATCACTCGTATTAAACGAGCAGTGGCTCCTACTGTACATTTAGCTCTGCTTTAGCAGGGCTAAATGTACAAAAAACCACGCCCGGCGCCCGAAACTGCATGTCTCAGGCGTCGGGCGATAGGGATTCGCTCCATAAGAGTGCATCTTATGGAGCAAAAAATATGGTATATATATATAAAATGAAATGTGACTCCTGTCCCTTTTTATTCATGAATTTTCTAATAAAAATGATTTTAAAAAGATAAAAAAGTAATAATATTTATATGGTCACCTTTAACTGACATTGTATCTGTAACTTGAAGTGGACCTTTACCCCCTTTGACTAACAAATCATATCAGCATACAGCTCTGCATGCTGATATGAAATCATCTTACATTGATTAGCTAATCAAACATATTTTTATTTTACTTGCAATTATTGTATTTCTACTTCCTGGTCCTCTTGTGTATTAATGATGTAATGTACCCAAGCGTTGCATCCTGGGAAGGTTACATCAGCAGAACATTGCTGGGAAATCTCCTCTGTAATCTCAGGGATCTCAGCATTTTCCTCCCCTGAGATGATGAGCATGGTCAGGTGTCCTAGTAAAGGGAGATCTAGTAACCTGCCCTTAGTAAAAATAGTCACTTGGCGAAGAATGGGGAGAAAAAGAAAAACAAGGTATGCAAGGAATACAAAACCTCTCATACCATTATCTAGAAGTATGTGTTTGTAGATTATTTATTATTAAACATTTCTAAAGGTGTGTTTCTTGTTATTTTGAAGATATTTTGAAGATATGGGTAAATATTGTCTAATTATAGGTTGAATAATTGGTTTTCTTTTTTGTTTTTAATATTGCAGCTTGCCGAGAAATACGGCTCAGTGTACAGCCTACAGATAGGACCACAAAAGATTGTTGTTCTCAATGGCCACGAGACAGTGAAAGAGGCTCTAGTCAACTACGCTGAAGAGTTCGCCGGGAGACCCCCTGTGCCAGTTTTTGTAGACATTTCCAAGGAACATGGTATATATACAGTATATATACAATATATTTTATAATAAAAAGAACTTTGCAAGAGATTCACAAAAAATATTTGCTTAAGAAAACTGTATACCTGATGCCCAACATAATGACAAAAAAATGTATTATGATTATTATTATACAGGATTTATATAGCGCCAACAGTTTGCGCAGACAATATAAGGAAGAAATTACAATACAATTCAAGACACGATGGTAAGGAGGCCCTCCCTATGAGAGCTTACAATCTAAAAGGGAGGGGCAAGTGATCCATGAGGAGGTAGCTGTGTGGGGATGAATTGTTTGAGAAAGTGATGGTTCAGTGGTTAGGTTGAGGTGGGATAAGCTTCCCTGAAGAGATGAGTATGAGATAGACAGACAGGTTGGGGTAAGGAGTTTAAATGGGTTTATGTACATTTTCAAGTGAAAGATTTTGTTATTTTTTTCTTTAGGCCTTATATTTGCGAATGGTAATAACTGGAAAGTCATGAAACGATTCACTCTGTCTACTTTGCGAGATTTGGGGATGGGGAAGAGAACAATAGAAGATAAGATCATGGAAGAGTGCCAGTGTTTGGTCAAAATCTTTACAGCCTACAAAGGTCAGTGATGAGTTCTGGTTTGGTTGCTACAGTGGCAAAGATTTTCTATTTAGCACTTTGTCCCTCCAATCATGGAATCTGATTGGCGGTTTGTCTTTCTAAAGCTTGCAATTGTGGGTCCTACTAAATACACCACACAAGGCAATTCTTATTTTTCTGTGATGGCTTTGGCCATGCTTCTTCCATAGTTTAGTCCTATCCCTCATAATCTGGTATATCTAGTAGATTGCAGGGAGGAAAGTCTATGGGCTCCTACCTGCACAATAAACGCAATTCCCAAATGACTGTGTAAGAGAAATAAAGTACCAAACCTAATACCCTTCTCTGCGATTTAGTGCTAAAACGTAGTTTGGATATCACAGATCCAGTAAGGCGAAAACCTTGGGAGGAATTTATCATAGCAATTGCGAGTGTTTGAACTTGCATGGAATATATTTGCACCAGATTTATGATGCTAGTGTAATGTTGTTCATAAATGAGGTTTAATAGACTCCAGGAAAGAAGACTTGTAGTTTCAGGCAAAAGCTTCACTGTCGCTTCTTGAAGAAGTGTACATGGGGACTTTTTAAGTTGCAATTGTTTTCTTAGGTGATGCTCCAGTTTCAGATAGCCGCAGAACAAGTGCAGATGAAAACAGGTGCAAAACACGTGCAGTTGGAAAAGTAGTGCAAGCTCAGGTGAAAACAGGGGCACATGTTAAAAGACAGATTTGCACATAAAAAAATGATCTAAGAAGCTAAAACTGTCGCAATTGCTTTGATAAATCCCCCCCCCCCCCTTCCCCTTTCTTTTGTTGTCACCTAAAGGTAGCTGTCTGAGAAACTGCACCATGGGGTGGTACATACAGTCCTATACATGGTTACTCTATGGATTAGATTGATTACAACTAGCAAAAACAATCATAAAAGTAGAGTGACCCATTAGCAAACAATCCAATTTTTTTTGTCTATTTCCTATTGGTTCATATTTGCAACAACTCTAAATTTGAGCTCTTTTTTCCTAGTTGAATAAATCAGCCCCTTTGCTCCTGTACAGGGGTGTAACTAGAAATCACAGGGCCCCGTAGCAAAATTTTGTATGGGGCCCTGTGATTTCTAGTTACACCCCTTGCAGAGCCCACTTGAGATCCCACACAGCCCACCTGAGGTTGACCCTGCAGAGCCCACCATAGACTCTCTATGGTGGGCTCTGCAGGTTCTCAGGTGGGCTGGTCACACTCCTTACCTGTCCGCCTCCTCTTCCTCCATGGTCGCTGATGGGCCCCGCCTCCTCCTCAGTCGCCAGGCCAGCCTCCTCCTCCGTCACCAGCTCCGCCTCCTCCTCTGCTGCCGACCCCGGGCCCCACCTCCTCTTCCACTGCCGTGTCCAGCCTCCTCCACCGCCGCTGCTGGCTCTCACTGACTCAGCAGCGGCTGTGGAGAAAAACACACCACTGCACAGATCACTGTCAGTGATCTGAAGAGTGGCGCGTTCCTCTTCACAGCCACCAGTGACAGCCACCAGCATGAGATGTCATAGCGACCCAGGCGGCCCGCACGGCATCAGGGTTGTCCTGGCCCGGGCCCTATAGCAGACACCTGGGTCACTATGGTGATTGTTACGCAACTGCTCCTGTACTTGTTATTGTGTGGAATTACACTTAGACCTAAGTGCGGTGACAAACGGTAAAATATGATTTTTATAATCAGTGTACGGAACACCAAGGAGGTTTTCAAATGTAATAACGATCACATACCCGACTCTTAGAATTACCTTAAATGTTACACCAAAGTGAGGCTGAAGCAAAGTACAATCATGTATTGGTCAAATGACCAGTATCAAATCACAGATATACCTTTTTATTCCAGTAATGGCCACCACCACCTACGCAGGCCATACTATACTCTTTGCACTTTACTGGCCCATGGAAGTGATCTGGCAGCAGCTAAGCCGCCAGAACCACTTCCAGTGCAAAGCCGATAGTCATGGAGTATTTCCTTTAGAAAGCAGCCACAGCATAAAAAGAAAAGGCCAAACTGAACAATTAGCCAATCTCATGCTTCCAGCTGATTGAAGAGTTCTGAGATAGTAAGGGTTGTGTCAGATCTCCACAGAGAGATCACTGCTTCCAGGCAGAGAGCAAGGGTCCTTCACTGCAGCATGCTGGCTAGGACCGGCTTTTCTACTCAGGCTGTGGCTGCTTCCTGAAGAAAACCTACTAAAAGACTTTGAAAACCTTTTGGTTTGATGCACCTAGAATGTTTTTTCGCTGAATTCAACTGAAAGTTCCTTTGGGCTTTAAGCAGGTTCTTGGCAACATTTTGTTCTTCTTGCAGGAGCACCTTTCGAAAACACCAGGATCCTGAATGCTGCTGTGGCCAACATCATTGTATCTATCTTAATGGGCCATCGCTTTGAGTACGATGATCCAAAACTTCAAAGCCTTTTGAAAATCATCTGTGACAATATCAGAATCTTCGGAAGCCCAATGGTTTTCGTAAGTTCATCTTTACTGCAACAAGTCTGTATGGGTGGTTGTTGGTAGATGGTGTTTTGTAAAATGATGTAAAGTAGGAAATGGTCTCGTTCATGGGATCATATTTGAAATTGGTGCAGGTTGCTGATCTTGTTCTGTAATTTTGTGCATGTGGAATGTTTCACATAAGCTATTTCATTTCTATTTTGTGTATTTATACATTTATTTACAAAAAGCAGGAAGAGGAGGATACGGGGAGGAGGAGCAGTACATCTCTGACACGTGACATAGAATATCATTATAAAAGGAAGCTGCAGAACTGAAATCATGAGATTATCAAAAATGCATCCAATGGAGACCTCTAGGTCTTTGTAACATGTCCCTAGCACTTCATGAAAAGTCTACAAGAGCCATAATTGCAAAGAAAAAATCTACTTATATAAATAGGCAAATATGTGTGCTTGGGGAGGGATCTTACTGTAGACTGATAAATGTGTGTGCTGGAGGTGGGATCTCACTGTAGACTGATAAATGTGTGTGCTGGAGGTGGGATCTCACTGTAGACTGATAAATGTGTGTGCTGGAGGTGGGATCTCACTGTAGACTGATAAATCTGTGTGCTGGAGGTGGGATCTCACTGTAGACTGATAAATCTGTGTGCTGGAGGTGGGATCTCACTGTAGACTGATAAAAGTGTGTGCTGGGGGTGGGATCTCACTGAGACTGATAGATGAGTGTGCTGGGGGTGGGATCTCACTATGGATAGGCAAATCTGTATGCTGGAGGTGGGATCTCACTGTAGACTGATACAGCTGTATGCTCGGGGTGGGATCTCACTAGGGATAGGAAAATCTGTGTGCTGGTGTCAGATCTCACTGTAGACTGATACATGTGTGTGCTGGGGGTGGGATCTCACTAGGGATAGGCAAATCTGTGTGCTGGAGGTGGGATCTCACTGTAGACTGATAAATGTGTGTGCAGGGGGTGGGATCTCACTGAGACTGATAAATGTGTGTGCTGGGGGTGGGATCTCACTGTAGACTGATAAATGTGTGTGCTGGGGTGGGATCTCACTATAGATTGGCAAATCTGTGTGCTGGGGGTTAGACCTCACTGGAGACTGATACACGTGTGCGCTGGGTGTGGGATCTCACTGTAGACTGATACATGTGTGTGTGCTGGGGGTGGAATCTCACTGTAGACTGATAAATGTGTGTGCAGAGGGTGGGATCTCACTGAGACTGATAAATGTGTGTGCTGGAGGTGGGATCTCACTGTAGACTGATAAATGTGTGTGCTGGAGGTGTGATCTCACTGTAGACTGATAAATGTGTGTGCTGGGGGTGGGATCTCACTGAGACTGATAAATGTGTGTGCTGGGGGTGGGATCTCACTGAGACTGATAAATGTGTGTGATGGGTGTGGCACTGGGGATAGGCAAATCTGTTTGCTGGAGGTGGTATCTTACTAAGTATGCCATGTGCATTGCAAGGGTGGCATTTCAATGGAGAAAGACCATTCTGTGTTTGAGGCGGGGATCTCACGGGGCAAACATGTTTGTGCTGGGGGTGGGATTTCACTGGGGGAAGAACAATGTGTGTGCTTGAGGTGGCTATGTATAGAGCATGATCGGTTCAGCTAAGTTGAAGACTGGAAGCAGAATCCACCGGTAACACGCTGTAAACTGGAAGTAAAACGTATGCATTATAGTGGTAATGATATATCATTCTGGTAACAGCTGTCAAATTTCAGATTTTCCCTTGCTATTCAGAGACAACCTGGGGGAGTGGGGGCACAGAAAAAATAAAAGCCTAGCAGGGATCTCTTCTAATCCTTTGCCAATCTATCCAGAAATTTAGACCGAATGTTTCACTTTATCTCTATAGCTGTTTTGTTACATCCATTGTGGTTCTCGCTTTTATTTTTGTTTAATTGCTTGGGATTGCTGAGCCCTTTTTGATTACCGCAAGAGGGAGCTGCGGTATCTAAAATTTGTTATTAGGGATGAGAGGTGTGCTTTTGGCAAAACTGATTTTGTGCACCGAGCTGCATGGGTATGTTTGTATGAAAAAAAAAATTGAATGGAAGGATAGTATAAATTGTTGGTGAAGGGGGAGGGGTGGTAGAAATTGTGGTAGACAATGAGAGTGTAGCTATACCCAAAAGCACAAATTTACTATATAGGCCTTTCATGTGATGGCTGCATTCGTTTTATTTTTGAGGCTTTTTTTTCCTGTATTCCAACCTGATGATCCGGCCAATAAGTTATTGTTATTGTTATTTTTCACCTTATTTTATCAGGTAATACTGTCCAGCAAAATTGGCAGTTAGAGGGTTGGGACAAACCCTTCTACACTGACGGCGGGGGGGGGATTGGGGGGGGG